CTCTATGAAAATTCTTATATTGAATGTTGTTTATATGACTTTCCGAATGTTGCACATGCGTAAAACGGTAATAAGATTCCTAATAAAGAGAATTTAAGATTAAAACGTTCCAATTTGAGTATTTTTTTCACTTTAACGTAATTATTTTACCGCTCTTACTTAATGATGATTTCGAGGATAAAAATTTCGTGCAATGTAAGTAGATTGTAATACAATATTTAAAAAATTGTTAATTAATTGATGGGAATGTCTATTGTTGCTTAAAAGCGCGGAATATTTGATTCGAGTAATGTTGGCTCCAAGATTCACCTTTTAACTCAAACGGGAATAATTGACCTAATTAATAAAATTTAAGATTAAAACGTTTTAATTTGAGTATTTGGTTCATTCTAACGTAATTATTTTCCCGCTATTACGCAGTGATGATTTCGAGGATAAAAATTGCTTACAATGTAAGTAGATTATAATACAATATTAAAAAAATTGTTAAATAATTGAAAGAAATGTTTATTGTTATCTGTAAACACCAATAATATTATCGGAGTACCTTCATCTTGAAATTCACCTTTAATCACGTGGTTCTCGATATATGAAATGTTTTATATTAAATATTGTTTACACTTTTCGAACGTTGCGCATGTGCATAACTGCAATAATCAATGTTAATCGATGATATTTACTCGAAATTATCGATAATAATTACATTTAATTGAATAATCGATTGAAATATAATCATTTGATTCTTCTGCGCAGAAGCGCAGGTGGTTACTTCCGGCGGAAAAGCTGTTTAAAGTAGTGTGAACATAGCAAAGGGTGAACACGTGCTTTTATTTTAAGATGGTTCATTGTTTTTTTTTTTTTAAGTTCCCAACGTTTTTTTTTTCATCAATCGTACAAATAAGAAGCTAAAAGTGTTTGATAAAAAATCTAGTGAAAGTACTTTTCTTCTATTTTTTTTTATTTTTTTTTTTTTATTATCAGTCTTGAAACAGTGACCTAAATGAACAATAATCCCAATGGTTTTTTTAAAACAAATTTTCTATCTTAAAAAGGTAAGGTTTTAATTTTTTTTGTTTTTTTTTTATTAAACTAACGGTTCAAGTTATAAAGTGAAGCATAGCAATAACCGAAAGAAAGATCAAAAGTGTTGTACTAAATTCGTCATTTTCTATTCTTTGCGACTTAACGAAAGTTTGGATTAAAAAAAACGTAACGATAAAGAAAAAAAGAAAAAGAGTAAACCCAATAGTTTTTTTTTAAAACAAATTTTCTATTTCAAAAAGGGGTAAGGTCTTTGTTTTTTTTTTCTTATTAAACTAACGGTCCAAGTTATAAAGTAAAGCATAGCAATAACCGAAAGAAAGTTCAGAAGTGTTGTACTAAATTCGTCATTTTTTATTCTTTGCGACTTAACGAAAGTTTGGATTAAAAAAAAAAACGTAACGAAAAAGATAAAAAGAAAAAAGAAAAGAAAAGAAAAGAAAAAAAAAGAAAGAGAACACTTTCGTTTTTGAGAAATTTTAGTGTTGAAAAAAAATTCTTAACCCTTTCTTTTATGAATTGATTTACCAAAGGAAAGTGCATTCGAGGATTTTAGTATCGAAAAAATTCTTTTTCTTCATTTTTTACTTTTAGTACAAGATGATACTTTTCTTCTTCTTTCACGTTTTATAATTTTTTTTTTTTTTATCGGTGACTATTGAATTTATTTAGGATCTTTCTGGGTCAAATAAAAAAAGAAGTATATTCTCCACCATAAATGTCTATTTTTTTCTTTTTTTAAGTTGACGATAGAAAAAAATTGTTTCGTTCTATATTACCGGATAAAAAACTGGATCTTGAATATTGTCCACCATAAATGTCTATTTTTCATTTTTTTAAGTTAACAATAGAAAAAAATGTTTCGTTCTATATTACGGGATAAAAAACTGGATCTTGAATATTGTCCACCATAAATGTCTATTTTTCTTTTTTTTTAAGTTAACAATAGAAAAACGTGTCGTTCTATATCACGGGATAAAAAACTGGATCTTCAATGTGAACCCTTTTTTCCCCAAGTTTTATTACCGTTCCTGGAACTGTTGGAGAAAGTAAGAATTTAACGAAAAAATTATTGAAATTATTAACCCTTTCGATGCTAAAGGGATCAACAACTGTAGTCATGAATTTTAAACATCTTTCATTTTTTCTAATTTTTCTTAATAATTAAAAGAAAATTCTAAATAAATTCTTCAATTTAATTAACTCCTTTGATTGCTGACTAATACTTTTACTTAAAATGTTTTCTATGAACAGAATAATTTATTATTAACCAGATTCTAATCCTTTCGCGAAAAAAACATATTATACGTAATAAAGAAAATATACATATTATAACATATTATTTTTAAATAATTGATTTTTTATTTTTCAACAAGTCAATGACCGCCGCATAAGGCCGCATAAGGACGATGTCAGCCATTTTGATGAACCAAGTAACTATCGTATGTATGCCGTACCCGTCGTGAAAGGTCTAATAATAAATTATATTTAATAATTAAACTTTTCGTTTTCGAATATAATTTAATTGATTAATATAAACATTAAATTATTTTACACTAATATTAACCCTTTTAGGACGTATGTCAATTCTCAGCTACTAAAGTCTTTTTACGATTCCGATCGTATGTCTGCCATCAGCCACCACACAACAAACCGTGCTAATCTTATATATATATATATATATATATATAAGTATATTTTACATAATAAATATATTATAATTATAAATATAATTATTATATTATATATAATTAATTAATATATAATAAATTATATATTAATATATTATATTATATATTAATTATATATTATAAATTAATATATATTATTTTATTATATTTTATTATTATTATTATTATTATTATTATTATTATTATTATTATTATTATTATTATTAATTGGCATCAGGAACTCGAAAGTTCATTGCCGCAAATA